GTGTGTGTATGTTTGTGTGTGTGTGCCTGCCCTCTCTTTGGTGGTCGTTTGTATCCGATGTGTGTTTGCGTTTCTTAGCTGCCCTGATACGCCCGTCTCGAAACGCAACACGTGCAGTGTTCAGAACGCCTGTGTGAACACGCTGCGTGATGGCTCAACGTCTTTGCTCACGATTGGCGATTGTACCGCGCCAAACGTACGTTTTCGACCTACGTGGTGAGCTCCGTGTCAACACGCTACGGGTTGCGTGTTGCGTATCGCGGTGACAAAGGTGCGTTTACGGGTGTTTCTCCGTGTGAATGTGTGGATACATTTCATGTGCACAGTATCATCGGCGTGTTGCGTACATTGTTTGGTTATGATCGTTTAGTGTTATCGTGGTTGGTCCGCCGTGCCTTGTCTGTCGTTTTGACGTCGTGTTGTGTCAGTGACAGTTGGTATGCCATTATCGTCTGTGGTCTGTCGCGATTGGCTTGCCAGTGTTATCTTGTATGCTGCCTGCCGTGTTTTGTATGCGTGTCATGTGGTTGTGCTATTTCGTGAAGTTAATACATGCTTCACGCGTCCAGATTGTGCATGTATGCCCGCAGTTCGTGTCTGCCACTTGCGTCTGTAAGTTGGTATGCTCTCTGCGCAACGCGCAGCATTGATATTTCTCTTCTGTCGGTCATCGGTAATATGTTGTTATTTGAGGATGTTCAGGAAGGGCCTCGCCTTCGAGGATCGACGGAGTTGCCATCTCTTCCTCGGCGGAAGGCGGCGGAGGGCGGCGGAAGTCAGCTGCAGCAAGACGAGGCCAACTCCGCTGGCGGAAGCGGAAGTAAATGTCGTCTTTTTTTGGATCAGGTTTTCGGAAACCGGCCACATTTCTGAGACCGCATATAGGGTGATTAGAATGTACGGCGGGCATGGGCACAGCTTTCGGATTTCGATGGTGTCGCTTCTTCTTGGCTGCATACTTCGCTTCTGTCTGTCATCCCAGACCCCGACGTCATATTTTTTATCATAACGTCGACCCCAGAGGTCTCGATCCATTCCCCAGGACCCGTTTCTCATCCCCTGTCGCTTTTGTTACGGGCCTGGGGCCGGGTAAGGGCTCCCAGGGCAGATTTGTTTATGATTCGAGGGGATTTAGATTCCAGGCGAGTTGCCCGGATCAGGGATGCGGAAGAACATGCAGGGGAATCAAGGGCTGAAGAAGCCGTCGTGCCCCAAGAGGGGGGGTGGAGGAGGAATTGTCGTCGTCGTTGTCGGAAGAGAAGGAGGAGGAAGAGGAGGAGGAGGAGGAGGAGGAGGAGGAGAAGGAGGAGGAGGAGGGAGGAGGACAGAAGGAAAGAGGGAGGGGAGGAGAGGAGGAGGAGGAGGAGGAGGAGGAGGTGGAGGAAGGAGGAGGGAGGAGGAATCGGGGGGGGGAGGATAGGCGGGGAGGAGGAGGAGGAGGAGGAGGAGGAGGAGGGAGAGCTCTGTCTGCCATCCGTTATGTGTCGTCACTTGTGGAGGGCGCGGGGTCGGACACTACGTGGGCCCTTGGGGACTCGGAACCCCTGGTGGCTCCGCAGTAGTAATGCGAGGTGGGCGCGAGTGTCGGGGACGTTTTTCGCCTTACATCTAGCAAGCCCCCTCCCTGCTGGGTGGGAAGAACGATTCTTCCTCCTGCCCTTCCGGGTCCCAGACCATGCTCACGTCTTGAACAAATCACGACGGGAGTTTTTTCCGTCCGTTCTCGGCCTCGGGGGGCCGCTTCAGCAGATAATTCTGCGGGTGCCACAGAGGGGGGGGGGGGGGCTGGCTCGGGGGGGAGGAGAGGAGGGGAGGAGAGGAGGGGAGGAGCAGGAGGCCGAGGAGGAGGAGGAGGAGGAGGCGGAGGAAGGAGGAGGGAGGAGGAGTCGCGGGGGAGGATAGGAGGAGGAGGAGGAGGAGGAGGAGGAGGATGAGGAGGAGGAAGAGGAGGGAGAGCCGCTTCAGCAGATGATTCTGGGGCGCCCACAGGGGGGAGGGGGGCTGGCTCGGGGGGAAGCGTCGACCCCCAATCGCCCATTCGCTGATCGGAGCCTGGATGCCCCAACCTGCCCAGGAACCTTTGGGTCTCCCCATCGGGGGGGCCTCTCGCAGATCCATCGGCACTATATTCAGGGGAGGAAAACACACACAGACAAAATTAATCGTCGATTCCCCCGGAAACATGGGAACATATGGGAAGTGGGGGGGGAGACAAAAGCCCAGAAAATATAAGAAATTACGGGGAATCCTGTCATTTGTGTGTCTTCATTCGTGTGTCCTTGGGCCCCTTGATCTATCGTCGCTTCCGGATCCCCGCCTTCCCGGTCCCTTGAAGGCTTGATGAGAATGCTTGCGTCCATGGTTTGAGATCTGCGATGCGGCTGAACCGACGGCCATGCATCCTCGGGGGGGCCACTGGTAACGACGGCCATGCATCCTCGGGGTGGTCACTGGTAGTCAGCAGGAGCGTGGCCGTTGGGTCAATCCTCGCCATGCTGCT